GGGGGATTCCCGGGCAGCGCGGGGGCGGCGCGGCCCCTCGGCGGCAGCGCGGCGCGCGGGCGGTCTCGCGCCGCAGCACAGCGCCGCCGCCGGGAGTCGCCTCACAGCGCGTCACGGCGGGAGCCCGAACCGGCGTGCTTGGGGTCGCTACACGGCAGCCCGGGATTAGGCAGCGTTTGCGACAGACCAGATGCTTCCCTAGGAGAGGCGGTGTGGCGAGCTGTCGGTGACGTGCCTCGCCGTTCTTCTAGCACCGTTCTTGTACTGCGCAGAGCTGGGAGCACGCAGGGGTGCCGGAGGTAAACAAATGCGGGCACAGCACTGCACCGTATAAAACCATTTTGGAAGTGGGTTGTTGAAGGCCCAGAGCACCTGGAGTTTTACAGCTAAACTGTATTCCTTCCCTCTGCCTTCACGCGTTTGTTTCACTCATACAAAACACAGTCCTCCCCATACCAAATATTGATTGAAAGATCAAACTATAGAAGTAGCAGCTGACAAAACACACTCAGACTATCTGAGGTAACTTGTTGCAAGTGGAGCTACAGGTTCCTGCTGCAGGACCTGTTTCCAACAGAACATTCCTTGCAGCAGAGAGCTGGAAGGAAAGCTCCCTGATCACTTAGAAGTCCTGAGGGGCAGCTTGCTGCTGTCTGTGGTGGCTCTGAGAGGGCTTCAGCAAAAAGGGTGAGTTGGGTGAAGGACTCAGTTGAGTCTTACAGGAATGCAAGAGCTTTTGCTCTTACCCACGCCTCAGTGCTGAGCCTGTGTTTTTATATTATATATGTAAGAGCTTTTGCTCTTACCCACGCCTCAGTGCTGAGCCTGTGTTTATATATTATATATATAAATATATATATATAAATAATATATATTATATCATATAATAATATATTATAATTATATTATATTTTATATATATATATATAATATGTATATACACACACACAGGGATAGGAGAAATCTCACCCTCAGGCTTTTCCTGGCACAAGAGAACAAGGGATGCATCAGTGCTCTGCAACCTGTTGCTTATGCAGTTAGAATGTATTTCAAGTGTTTCTCACCATAACCAACAACAGATCCCCTATACATAGATATGTGACTGTGTGTTGCCATAAATAATTTCAGAGTTTCTAAACAGCTCACCTAAGTTTGCTGAGATAGAAATGTAATATGGAGTTTTATTTTCTGTTTGTTCAGAAAACAAGCATTTAAATGGATGGTTTAGCTTTCTAACACAAGGTCTTCTCCCCACTCCTTCATTTCTTCACAGCTAAAGCTCAATCTTCTCCCACATTGTTCACTAGCACTCCTTGTAGCAGTTACACTGAAGTTGTCATCCATCCAAGCTTTCTTTTGTTTAGCCCTGTAGATTTTTTCTCTGCAATTCCCCCCCCCCCCCCATAAATAGGAACTCCAACAAATGAACATACATTTTTTAGCGATTTCTGGAAGTAACCACATACATTTGTCTGTCCTCCACAGAGGAAGAAGCCAGTCCTTAACCAGAAGGCAGACACCCTTTATCCTTTTAGCATAGCTAGGAGCTAATTGCAGTACTTTCTTAGCAAATACACTTGCAGCAGCGTGAAGGGCTTTCAGCTATAGATAGCATAGTTTCAATGATAATTCCGTAAAAATCTAAACCTATGCGTAAAAGCATAGGTTTAGAATGATAAAGCTCATGAATAACTAAAAACAGGGTTATGGGACTGGTTATTCTGCTGCTGAAAGGACAGTGAATATTATGAAGACCTTAGAGTTTAGGCAGAAACCCCTAGTTAATTAGATGAAAAAACTAAATACAGACTGATGTTATGGGCTTTATTTTTTTTTAAGTTTATATCTACTCAGATTTGGGAGTTACTATGACAAAGCTTTTACATAGTGGTAAATTTTCTTTTAATTCAAGCTTTTTTCTCCTCATATCACCATCCAGAAAAGATGCTGTTCCTTTAAGCTACCATACTTCTAGCACATTGCACATTTTAGCAGAAACTTTTTTTTTTTTTCCAGTACCACTATGTTTTTACAAGGTAAGTGTAATGCTGTAAGAATTGGACAAATCAGTACAATGGGAAACACATTTTAACAAAGGTGTGATGACAGAGTGGAGCAATAGAGAAACACCACAAAGGAAGGGAAAAAGATTGCTTACCTGTATTAGACTATTCCATAATCACAGGGGAAAGCTTTACATAGGAGAGAACTCATGCAAGAGATCCTTCCCTAGTGGGGGTTAGCCCTTAAATGAGGTCTAAGAGAGATGCAGCCAGGCTCCACCCCTGCCTGTCACACAGGTGAATTGCCTTCACTTGTGCTCCCAGGGTTTAGTGGGTCCTTTTCCCAGGTGCTCCATCAGTGGTTATACTAGGACTCAACAGTTCCCATACGAATGCTTTGAGTGATGAAAACATGCAGATGATGCCTTTTAAGTTTGGTAAATGTGGAAGGTTACTGTGTCTCCCTCCTCTATTTTCTTCAGATATCTCACCTATGCATGCATTTTTACGTTCTTGACTCCCATCGGTGCTATAAAAATTTGTTCTGCCTTGGGACTTACTGCTTGTGTGCCTTGTTGTCTACAGAGGAAGAAGACTTGTACTCTGCAAAACAAGGACACACTCCTTTTATCCTGCTCTGGGTGTGGGATAAAATTTTCCAAGAAAAAAAAAATCTACAGAGGAAATTGATTGGTGTACTTGCCTGGTTTCCTGTGCTTTGATTGCACGTGAAAGTTGCTGCAGGGGTATTGAGGTCAGGCCTGGAATGAAGTTCACATGCACTGAATCAGCTGCTGGGATTCTGTTGTTGCTACAGTGACTGCTTTGATCCTTCTCAGTAGCCACTCTGTGTGACTTGGGAGAGCAAAGAGTGACTGCCAGTACAGGCTGCAGCTATTACAGCAACTCTATGTAGGTCTTTGTCATCAGTGTAAGCCCGTGGGAGTCTGATGCAGGTGAAGGCTTGAAGAGCCGTGCAAACTGGGCCTTATGTTTTGGCTGTTTGGTGCACTGCCTTCACAACCTACAGCATGAATATGGAGCAAAACACTTCTAGATTACTTCTGGAGCTATTAACAAATCTGTGAAATGAGGATAAGCTCCTGTCATTTTTCCTCTGAATAGATTTACAGCTCTATGGGAACTATTGAGTCATTGCCACTGATGGAGCACCTGGGGAAAGGACCCGGTGAGCTCTAGGAGTGCAGGTGAAGCAATTCAGCTGTGTGATAGGCAGGGGTGGAGCCTGGCTACACCTCTGTTAGACCTCATTTAAGAGCTAATTGCTACTGAGACAGGATGTCTGGTTGGAGATCTTGTCTTTGTGAAGTTTTCCCTGTAAGTTTAGATCTTCAGAGATGGGTGATTGTTTTTCTATTTTTGCTAGTCCCTTTATTGTTAGGTTTTCTGTATTGCTATTCCTCTGTATTGATCTTTTTGGTTGCTGTGATGGCTGTAGATTCCTGTGTAGTTCAAACTGGGGAGGTCTTTGTTTTGTTCTGCTGTTGGCTGGCAGTTTGTGTGAACATTTGATCTGAAATATGCACAGGAACTTCTACAAGAAGCAGCTATGCTCTGCACCTGCAGATGTGAAACACTGCAGATGCAAAGTATATGGAAGCAGTTAGTTTCTTACTTGGCCTTGAAAATGCAGCTGTGAAGTAGGCTATGGTTATGAGTAATTTTTTATGCTGGGGAAGCTTTAATTGTTTAGAGTGTATGTTGGGAGGGGAAGAATAACTGTATCCAAAGGTCTCAATCAGAAAGAAGAAAAGAAGTATTCTGATAAATAACTGTGAATTAAAATCTGATTACTAATTATACTTGTAAGCAACCTATTTGGAACACAGGAATCTCTTGCTAGCTGAAATGTTTTACTCTGGATAGTATCTCCTTGATGTGTGGCTGGTAGTTGGAGACTACCATAAACTGAGTAAACCTGCAGTTAAGATATCAGAGTGCTGCTTCCATTACTGTTTCCTCAAACTCCTACATCTGCAACTTAGTCATCTGCTTGCCATAATGTCAGCTAGAAATATGTGTAACTGACAAAGCCATTATAGTACTGAAGTGAAATCTGCTGTGAGGTAGGTATTATATGAGGGAAGCTTTTTAAAATCTGAAGTTATTCGAGTAGTATTTTAGATTAAATCCTATTAAGAAATCAAGAAAGCTCATTTTTTAGGGCATTGGTGCACTTTTCAAAGTTTACTTACTTCTGTCATAGGTTTGCTGTGTTGTACTTTGAGAGAGCAGAAGTTTCTCTCTTGATAGGTTGATAATAACTTATGAATCTCTGTGCTGATGTGAGAGCCTTGAATGGGGTTTTAAAATATATTCTGCAAAGACTGTGTCTTAAAGAGGAAGGATGACTCAAGACTGCTTGTAAGCATTTGTGTTAGAAAGAGAGGAACCCAGGAGTGAAGGTTTCATTCTCTATTTCTGTAAGAGCTGAACAGGGAAGGTTATTGTGAGAGAATGGAGATAGTGATAGTTGTAGAAATACATTGTGAATACATAGTGAAATCTAGAGCAAGTCTAAAAGTGACTTGACTCTTCTGAAAAGAGATGTTGGATCATTCTAGTAGACTAGATGTTGAGAATGAGTGTGGCAGTTAAAGCTGGTTATATTGTATCTTGATTTTGTTTTCAATTCTTTTGTGCTTCTTTCTGTTAGTAGAAATAGAGTGGATATAGTATCTGCTCTTTGAATGTAGAGCTTCATCTAGTATTTCTGCTTTGAATCTCATGCTCTTTAGTAAAATTCATTTGCAGTAAGTCTAATTACTAAGATTTGTTGTGCATGGGCTCATTTTAATGGTAGGGAAGGAAAAAGGAGAACAGCCTATGAGGGGGGTTGATGTAGAGGTGGGGGCTATTGTAGTATTTTTGTTTTTAATAAGATGCTTTTCTGAGTCATTTTCTGACTATGAGGTGACAGTGAGCCTGCTGATCAGTTTGATGCTTGGCTTCTGTTTTCTTGCTTCTGGAAGTTGTGTCAAATACATCTTGTACAGAAGGAATATCATCATCAGTCCTGAGCAGTGCAGGGAATAAAGTAAAATGTGAAGATTTAATACTGGTCCCTGGTGTAAAATGCTACCTATTTCTTGACTGTATCTGAAAGCTGCTGTAACAACACAAATGACAAACTGTTAATAAAAATAACAGAGGAACTCTGTTCCTCTTGACTCTTAATGTCCTTTTACTCTCTGTAATATCAAGCCAGTTAAATAAACTCTGGAAATGGCTCGAATTGCATTGTACAGTGCTGTGTTGTGGTGCAGCGTGCCTCA